AGAAAGAAAAATAGAAAGAAAATAAAACACTATAAAGAAAAGAAAAAGGACATGTAAAAAATCAATTATAGAAACTTAATTTTCCATTAAAAAGAAAAGGTAGAAAGTACGCACACACAATATAAATTAACAATATATATATATATATATATATAAAATAAAAATAAATTATTTCTAAAATTATATAAGGACAATTCCATGTCAACACAACCAGAGGTCCCCAGCTCAAATTTCTGAATTTGATCATCTGTATTTGAAATATTTTTTCTGAAGAAAGATAAACGTATAGTGATGAAAGCCAAAATATTAAATGTCGTGGATAAATATTTACTGAGTAAGCCGCTATTTTGTAGAGGGGGGTCAAAATGGCAATTTTCATATTTATGAAAATATTGGAATTATTGGAATTACTGGAATTTCAATATGGCTCCAGGAGTAAATTGATAAATTCTACACATTTTCAGTGGTCAAAAAACAAACATGGGTCACTTTGCAAAAAAATATGATACTTCTGTTCTTTTAAAGAGGAAGGTCTGAAGAACAAATAATGTTGAAACTAAAAATGTATCTTGTTTCCTTCTGTCAAAACAACTGCACTGAACATACCTGTCTGAGTGCCATAAATATTCTTTTTCCAATGTTTGTGAGCCTATAACTTAAGAAGTATCAAAGCTATCACAATATGATTTTAGATTCTAGTTCTTAATAAACTTTGCTTTTGGAATGTTCATTATCAAGGTCCTACATCGTTCAGTCGCAGAGATATGGGGACCTCAATGAGGCTCCAGATTGTTAAATATTACCCATTTTCAGTGGTCAAAGCCAAATGTTGGTCACTTTGTATACAGCTAATACTTATTTCATTTAAAGAACAATGTCTGAAGAATAAATAGTGTTGAAATTAAAACTGTATCTTGTGTCCCTCTATCAAAACAATATCTATAGAACAGACCTGTCTGGATGCTTAAATGCTCTAAATTGGTCAAGTTACCTTTCTCTCAGTAGTCTATTCATAAGATTCTCTATTCGAATCAGTTTCAGGGATATTTGGAAGAAGGGATTTTGTTAATTTTAACAGCTTCTGAAGCCACCAAGAGTTCAGATATGCACTATTGTAACATGTTTGACAGAGATCCCATGCCTCCTATAGGGAAAAGTGCTTGCTTTCTCCACACATTGCATTCACGTCAATAAACCAAGATTTGCCTAACCTGGATTAATTTTTAAAATCTCTTTTTCTTTTTTATTGCTATGTGAAGCATAGTCATAGATCAAGTAGTATACTGCTAAAGGGCATATTTGGCAGAATAACTGATAGTACCTCAAACATTTAAGGTCTCTCACACTTAAAATAATTAACACTGGGTATTTCTAAACCCCAGGTAAATCCCAGATATCCTGGGTAATCTTATTTTATGTTTCACACTGTTCATACTTTGCCTAGAGTTAATAATTAATCCTGGTAATTCATAATCTAATGTGTCACACTGTACCTTCCTAAACCCTGGGTTACTGTTATTATTTGCATATTTGACAATGACAACAGTGATGTCTAGATGAACACAAAACCACATTTGGTTTTTGACCATTGAAAATGAGTAGGACACAACATTTTGGACATGGAGCTGCATTGAGATCTCGATATCTCTGGGATTAAACCATTCAGGGCCTTGAAAATGAAGATTCCAAACGAAACGTTTATTTAGAACCAGAATCTGAAATCATATTAAAATATCTGTAATACTTCTTGAGTTACAGGCACGCAAATTTTGAAAAAAATGAATATTTATAACACTCACACAGGTATGTCCAATGCAATTGTTTTGATAGAGGGAAACAAGATGCACTCCTAGTTTCAACATTATTTATTCTTCAGACATTCTGCTTTAAATACAGTAAGCATTAGCTGTATACAAAGTGTCCAACATTTGGTTTTGACCACTGAAAATGGGTAATATTTAACAATCTGGAGCCTCATTGAGGTCCCCATATCTCTGCGACTGAACGATGTAGGGCCTTGTAAATGAAGATTCCAAAAGAAAAGTTTATTAAGAACTAGAATCTAAAACCATATTGCAATATCTTTAATATTTCTTGAGTTATAGGCATGCAAACTTTGGGAAAATAATATTTATGGCACTCAGATGGGTATGTTCAATGCTGTTGTTTTGACAGAAGGAAACGAGATACATTTCTAGTTTGAATATTATTTGTTCTTCAGACATTCCTCTTTAAAAAAAAAAGACGAAAAAGAATCATATTTTTGCAAAGTGTTTTGGTTTTTGACCACTGAAAATGTGTACAATTTAACGATTTGCCCCTGGAGCCATATTAAAATTCCAATATCTCTGGAACCGAACAACATAGGGCCTTAAAAATGAAGATGCCAAAAGAGACGTTTGTTAAGAATCAACATCTAAAAGGGCATTAAGATATCTTTGATACTTCTTGAGTTACAGGCCTGCAAACTTTGGAGAAAAAAACATGAAAAGTGCGCTTT